ATTCCAAGTTTCCAACCCTCTCTCTGCTTTTGTTAACCAGTAGTTCCAAGTTTCAGTTCAATTAATTTTGATTGAAAATTTTTTAACAATGAAAGAAAGAAGCCTGGAAGATGTTTCATCACCACGTGCTGAATAATCCTTTCGTATGTTATTATTGTTTTCTCATAAATAAATGGATTAAACAGGACAAGAGAAAGCAACCCATCTCTGTCTGATCACCCAATTTTGCACCGATTCAGATTCTCGTGTCCATTCACTCCAGGCCATTGTTTTTGGCACGTTAACCACAGAATCTTGCCGTTCAACCTCTGCATAAAATGATATTAAATTAACACGTATTGAAATCGACAGCCGGATCAAATATGTACGTCTGAACAATTTTGTAGATCACAAATGATTCTCTCTAGGGTTAACAATTCATTCCGTACTCATAGAATTTTGACGTATTCAATTTATAAGGTTGGTTTTTTTTTAATTGAATTTTGAATCAGGTTTTTTTTTTTTAAATCGAGGTTGGATTAAGCCCAATTTTATGCCAATTTGTCTCAACCCGTTTCTATAATACATTATTTTTTATTATTTATTTAATTTTATATTTATATTTAAAATAATAATAAATATTATTATATATAAAAATTAAAATTTTATTAATTTTAAATTAATTCAAATATAAAAATAATATTTTAATATTAAATCAAATTAAATATTAAATTTATAAAATTAGATCAAAATCAAGATAAATAAAAATTTATTTTAATCCGATCATCTTAAAAAAATAGTGTCACAAAGGAGAACTAAATGGTAATAATCACTCCAACCCAAGGTCAACCTGATTGATTGATGAGTTTCACTCTTTCATAGTAAAAATTTCTTACTATAATTTATCACAATTACTTCAAATTTCACAAACCCTTTGCGTCATTAATTTGGAAATAGTGAATAAATCTCTTTCTATGAACTATTATGCTTGAAAATCAAACCAAAAAGCAAAAAAAAAAAAAAAAAGAGTGAGATTTAAAATGATGCAATATGAGTATATATACTTTAAACAAACACATTCATAGGCTAAAAATAAGAAAAAAATAAAGACATAGTATTGGCAATTTAATCTAATTCTATCAAATTTTGATCTAATTTAATTTTATAAATTTTTTTTTAAGTTAAGATCGAAGTTTAGGTAAATTCGTATCGATTCGATTTAGTATATATATAATATTTTTTATTATATTATTTAATTTAATTTATATTTATTTAATTTTATATTTATATTTAAAAATAATATTTTATTAATTTTAAATCAAATCAAATTTAATATAATTTTTTCCATATATAAATCAAATTAAATTTAAATATAAAAATAATATTTTAATATAAATTAAATCAAATTTAAATATTAAATATATAAAATCGAATTAAATTTAAACTATAAAAATTCAACCCGACCGGTTAATATCTCTATACACAAACCTACTTTGTTTTTTTTTTTTTTTTCATTTATAATATTATAAATAAATAAATATAATCTCAAAAGACTCCAAAAGAAATGGGCTATGAGGTGAAAGGGACGTGTTACGAAGGGGCGCACGTACGCTGCAAAACGTAGGCCCGCCATCTCTCCGCGTTGGTATCCGGCATAGTTGGTGAAGGGACCCACACTTTGGCCACAAGGGACAGCACCACTTGTCCATGACTGATTTGGAAAGCTCATCCAACACGTCACGTTTGTTGCATTTATGCTGACGTGGACACCTCCAAAGTGGGTCTGTGGTTCCCTTCTTTTCCCTGAAGGTGGGTCCCCTTAACTCTTGTTTCAGTCTTCTTACGTTGTCTCTTAGCTGGACCTTTGTTACTTTTAAGTTTAAACAATTTGTCATCTGATCATTGATGTATATTCAATTGTATAGTGTTTAGTAGGTTTTTTTTTTTTTTTTTTTTTCATTCACATAAAAAAATTATTTATTAAATTTTTAAAAATCACGAATTTAAAAAAATTTAAACATGTTACTCCCAATGAATTAAGTAAATAAAAATTAAAATTTGAGAATAAATTAAAATTTTCAAAAAAATAATAAATGTATTTCTAGACGAATTTAAGTTTGATTCATGCTTAAAAAACATGAAGTTCAAATTTAATTTGTTTAAATCAATTCATTTATTTTTTAATATTTAAAAAAATTAATTCTAATATTTTAAAACATATTATAAAATTAAATAATTTTTAATAAATACTATTTAAAACCGAACTTAAATTTAAAAAATAAAACCCTATTTCGTGTTGGATAAATGCATGAAAAGATCTAATTTCAATTATTTTTATGTTTTTTAGATGTGACAATTCGATAATAATTTTTTTTTTGTAAATTTTTTATTAAATTGTAAATATAGTTTAAATCCACATAATATAAGATTATTATAATAATAACAATAATGCATGAAAATTTTCTCAAGAAAATGTGAGAAGGTTTGCTTGGCCATGGAGTGCCACTCATCATTCGAAGAGGCACAAAGAATAGAAAGGAAAGATGGGGAAAGTTGAGGAAAAGCTGCTTGCACTTTTCTCCAACTTGCACCAACTTGCATGAAAGCACTTGCTCTTAGCTTAAAAGAAAAATACGAATAATTATTAAATAATATTATAAATATAATTTTTAATATAAAATTTAATAAAATAATATATATTGGTTTTTTTTTTAATATATAATTTGAAGAGCAAATCCAATATAACGTGTTGATGTTACAACCGATTTATGTTGATAAAGATAGTTCCAAGCTTGTTATTTGTTGATGTACATGATCAATCGGAAAAATAATTATGTTAAAATTTATTATTTAAGTATGCATTATATATATTTTTTAAAATTAATATAATATTAAACTATAATTAATTAATTATATTATAATAATTATAAAACGATATATTCGATTTAAATATATTGATTATAAAATAATGTTAAATGTTTTGCCAGTGGTCCCACCTTTACTCAATCCGTTGACTTTTTAACGTTTAAGTTGAATAAATCTTTGTAATTAACAAGTTTGATTAATTAAACTGCTAATAAAAAATTAATTACCTTAGCAAAAGACAAAAAAATATCTCTTTTACAATCATAGGCAGCAAAAACAATATAAGCCAAAGAGACCTTATCTATGCGACGGATGTAAACGGACACGTGTCAAAAAGAGGGAAGAGGTGAAAATTGAATAAATAATAATAAAAGCCTGTTCGAGGAAGAATAGAACTTGACAGAGGAAAAATAGACGAAGGGTTGGCATCAGAGTCAGGTGAAGCGAACTTCTAAAAAGTAGAGCTTATAACAGTAAAAGAAAAAAAAATGTTACAATAAATTATTAAAAAACAAATTTAAAGATCTTCGATTAGATTTCGTTTTTCGGATCCCTTTAACGGGATTTTTTTTGTAAATAAATAAAATAAAAAATTGAAGAAAAAAAACTTTTTTTAGTATTTATATATATGAATTATTAATGTTTTTTTTTTGCTTCAACATAAAAATAGATTTAATAGGTTTAAATATTAAACTTAATTGTTATGAGAAAAAATTTATTTATTGACGAAAAATAAGATAGTAAACTATAAATTTAAAGAGTGTTTTGTTTTAGGTCAACTTTTAGAAATAATTTGTAAAATGCTAGGTTTTAAAGTTATTTGACAAATGAAGTTACCAAAAGTGTAAAGAACTTGTCAAAGTTGGATTTTGGATGAAGTTTTTAGATGAAAATTTTTATTATAAATAATTTAATAAAAATTTTAATAATGTGGTAAAAAATAATTTGATTATAATTTTAATAAAAAATTAACTACAAATTAATTATTGAATAATAAGTAAAAAATTTAAAAAATATTTTTTATAATTTAAATTTGATTAATATTTATTCAACGATAAAAAAATTATTAAAATTTTATCTAAAATATATTAAAAGTTTTTTAAATTATGTATATTTGATATTTTTAATAAGATCTTTTAGTATATGGATTTGAATTTTTATTTTTAATTTTTATTTAAACTTCTTCTAAGTTTTTTTTACTATTCTTTGCTTGGAGCATTTCTTAATTTTCATCTGTACACATTTAAAATTTGAAACTAAAAATTAAATGATAGATAGAATTTAATTTCTAAAATTAACAACGGCATTACATCATTAAAAAATTACAGAAATTAAATTGGATTTAACATAAATTTAAGACTTTAGAAAGTATTTGGATGAGAATTGACTTAGTAAGAAGAAAAAAACAAGTTTGATTTAAAGATGTTAATAGATAGAGTATGAGATAGATAAAATATTTTTTTATTCTTGTTTTAGATTTTTATATTATATCAATCATCATACTAATACTCAATATTTTTAAATTTATTTTTATTTTTATCCTTATAGATATTTAATAAGTATAAGTAATTTTTGTACTGGTAACATTTAAAAAAAATTAAACAAACTATTTTTTAGTTCTTTTTATTTTACCTTGTGTTATTTATATAATATTTTACAAATATATATTAATATATTTTTTTAATAAAACATATTAATTCCAATAATTTCAAATTAAAATTATTTAATAAAAATTTATTTATTAAATATATACAAATATATATGCAAGATACATATACGAACATGCATACAATATATTTGCTAATTATTTAGTCTTATTTTTTATGATATAAAAATTTAAAATTATACATTTTTATCCCATAATATAATAATTTTCTTTATCTTTATTCGACAAAAATCGAGTTTTTTTATTGAATACGTATATATCTAATTTAAGAGAGAATTTTTTTTACTTTCAGTTAAACAGATAAAGTTAAAAAAAAAAAAATGAACAGTAAAAAATGAGAAGAACGTTCTATTTCTATTTCGAATGATTTGGATTTGTGGAGTTAGTTAACTTCATGTGTGAGCTGGATCCACTCTTCTAAGAGTGGCCCACTTTTGATTAAAAAAACAAAAGAAATTCCATAATTATTTATTAAATAAAATATACATTATAATGCTAAAATTGTAATCCAGAAAACAGAGAAATTCAGCTTGACACAAGCATATGTCTTCAAATTTCTTTGTGATAATCCCAAATCTCTCTCCTTTCCCTTCAAATTTTAGCTTATCTTAACTTGGGTTCTTTGAATTTTCAACTGGGATATAAGTATGAATCTTTTTTTATGCCTAGTTCAAGTTTAAGCATGTGAAGCCAGCATCTTTATGTAAGATTTTCTATATTTTTTTTTTCTTTTTCCTGGTTTTGGACCAGTGTTTTGAGAGATGAACTCAAGCAGTGGAAAAGGATCCATGTCAACTGCCAGCTCAAGTGCTGCTTGGAAAGCAGGAGATGCAGTTCCTGAACAGTTTCCTGCTGGTTTGCGTGTTCTTGTTGTTGATGATGATCAAACATGTCTTATGATCTTGGAAAAGATGCTGAGAACCTGCCTTTATGAAGGTCCTATACATAATTTTCTTGCTTTATGGTCATATTTCTCTCTTGGGTTCTCTTTAGTTCTTCGTTTTGAGTTCTATTTTGCCTTTTCAAGACATGATTCTTGTGCTTGTTTTGAGTTTATTAAGGCATCTAAACTATGAATTGTCATGGTCATTTCGTGGGTTTTTTTTTTCTTGCTTGTGTTTATTTTGTTTGTGGGTACTGAGTGGAAAAACAAAAAGAAATGAACTTTGTTTGTTAGATTTGGGAACAGTATGGCATTTTGTAATGCTGTGAGCTATAATTTTATTCCAGCATGGGTTGTGTAAGGTTTTGTAACTTAGTTTTGAGATATCTTATTCTCAACAAATTGCTTGAAGCTTTTCATTAGCTTTAAAGGTCTGATTTGTTTTGATTTGTGCATATGGAAAATAGGGAGTTCCTTTTTTCTTGCGGATGAGTTTTGTTTGGACCTAAGAGGTTGATATTCTTGTAATTTGATGGATGATTGGTTGATTTTTGGTGTTTCTTTTTCCAGTTACCAAATGCAATCGAGCAGAGATTGCTTTGTCTATGCTACGAGAGAACAAAAACGGGTTCGATATCGTTATCAGTGATGTCCACATGCCGGACATGGATGGATTCAAACTTCTTGAGCATATTGGTTTGGAGATGGACCTCCCTGTTATCAGTAAGCACTCTATCATAAATGTTTGACATGGTGGGTTTGGAATACTTTTTCGCATTATATTCGACTCGGATTTCTGCAGTGATGTCAGCAGATGATGGAAAGCATGTTGTTATGAAGGGTGTTACACATGGTGCCTGTGATTACCTAATCAAACCAGTTCGTATGGAGGCGCTGAAGAACATATGGCAGCATGTGGTTCGGAAGTGGAAGGACGAATGGAAGGACTTTGAGCAATCAGGAAGTGTAGAAGAAGGAGATCGGCAGCAAAAACAATCTGAAGACGCAGATTACTCATCCTCAGCTAATGAAGGGAATTGGAAAAGCTCAAAAAAGAGGAAGGATGATGAAGATGAAGCTGAGGAGAGGGATGATACATCCACACTAAAGAAGCCGAGGGTTGTCTGGTCCGTTGAGCTCCATCAACAGTTTGTTGCAGCTGTTAATCAACTAGGCATTGACAGTATGTCTTTTTCATTGTAGTAACATATAATTACTAGCAATGCCAAAAGACATTAAAACCTCCTGATGATAGTGCTTTTTATTTTCTGAATACTGGTCAAGCGGCCCTGTAATTTGGAGAAGGGAAATAAGCATAGGCAGAAGTGTTGTTAGTTGTTCAATTTTTTTTTATTGGAGGTTTCCGGCAAATAACTCAAGGATCTTAGTCAAAGTGTGTTCCATTGGTTAGCATGTCTTGATTCTAAGCAGCATCTTCAATTATTGATGTTTTCTGTTGTTAGTTGATTGCTGTTTGTATAACCTCATGTTTTTTGCTAGAATTATGTTACAATTGCCAAAATAATTAAATATTAAGTGTTTGTTTAATGTTGAAGTATGTTTTAAATTTAACTTCAACCAAAACAATTTGCCTGTTGATTTTTGGTGTTTCTCAATTTCTCTTCATTCACATTCGGTACCTGCTGCTATCACACCTCTCATGAATTTTCTGTTTGATCTTCTTATGTAGAGGCTGTCCCAAAGAAAATTTTGGAGTTGATGAATGTTCCCGGCCTTACCAGAGAAAATGTTGCCAGCCACCTCCAGGTATGGTTCCATGTTCACTAAATATACGAACTTTCCGCTTGCCTGCGTTTGCATCTAATAAATAATTTTCAGAATTATCTGTGGTCCTTTGATGATAATCACCGTGTTATCATGTGATCAGAAATATCGCTTGTATCTTAAAAGGCTAAGCGGGGTATCACAGCACCAGAGTAATCCGAATAATTCTTTTATCAGTCCTGAAGAAGCAGCTTTTGGACCACTATCTTCTCTCAATGGGCTTGATCTTCAAACTCTTGCTGCCACTGGTCAACTTCCTGCACAAAGTCTTGCGACACTCCAAGCAGCAGGGCTTGGTCGGTCAACTGCTAAATCTAGCATACCTATGCCCCTTGTTGATCAAAGAAACATTTTTAGCTTTGAAAATCCAAAGTTGAGATTTGGAGAAGGGCAGCAACAACATATGAACAATAATAAGCAAATAAATTTATTTCACGGAATTCCAACAACTATGGAGCCAAAGCAGCTTGCCAGCTTGCATCACACTGCACAATCAATAGGAAACATTAATATGCAAGTCACTTCCCATGGTGCGCAAAGTTTCCAAAATAATTCTTTATTGATGCCGATGGCTCAGCCACAGTCAAGAGGGCAGGTACTCAATAATTCCACCGTTGGTCATGCTCCCACGCTTCCCTCATCCATGGGGCAGCCTATATTATCAAATGGAGTTGCTGTCAATGTCTCTCCAAGAAATGGAATTCCAGAAAATATCAGAGCCCCTGGTTATAATCCAGTTTCACAAACCTCTTCAATATTGAATTTCCCCATGAATACTGCTTCAGAACTACCAGGTAATAGTTTCACTCTTGGAAGTACACCCGGGATTTCTGGTCTCACATCCAAAGGGGCTTTTCAGGAAGATGTTAACTCAGAAATGAAAGGATTGGGGGAATTCTTGTCGAGTTATGATACATTTAACGACTTGAATCAACATAAACCCCAAAATTGGGAGATACAGTATGTAGGCATGACATATGATGCCTCCCAGCATTCAAACTCTCTTCAAGACAACCTTGATCTTATGCAGTCAGTTTTAGTTCAACAAGGATTTTCTTCTGGCCAAGTGAATGGACAGAACAGGAGTGCGGCTGTTGTAAGAAAGGCAATGTTCTCAGCAGGAGATAGTACAGAGCATGTGAATGCACAAAATGTTAATCAACATCTCAACTCCCTTGTTGAAAATACAATAAGGGTAAAGTCTGAGAGAGTTGCTGACGCCAGCGCTGCCAATCTATTCCCTAATCACTTTGGACAAGAAGATCTCATGAGTGCTCTTCTGAAACAGGTTAGTTTCTGGTCATCATTATAACCTGTTTAAGCCAGTACTCACTTCCATGAATCAATGGGGATATTCACTGACATTAAAGTTCCATTTTCTGGCAGCAGGAAGGCATTCTACCTGCTGAAAATGAGTTTGATTTTGATGGGTATTCCATGGATGATATTCAAGAGTAGGGGATCTTCTATGCTCCAATTCTCTTCATGATTGCAGTTTCTGATGTACATACTCATCGTAAGACAAATATCTCTTCTGCAATCGGTCAGTGGGACCTCAAGTTTGTTTTTCTTCAAGAAACCATGTTGCTTAGTTCCAATAACTGCATCTTCAATATCATGTTGTACTGGTTTCTTTTGAACATAACAGGATCGGATGAACAGCTAGATAATCGAGATGGAGCTACCATTAGAAGATAGTTGTGAAGGTTGTAAGATACTTCTGCATGATATGCAAAGGCAATCATGCAAAATTTTGATTGTTTTTGGTACCAGAATCTGGCAGGATGAACTAATTTTAGGGTGCTTTTGAAGCTGTCATGTCGAGTTGTGGAAGCATTGACAATAGTAAACTTTCTAACGCTAATAACAGATGAAGTTGCCTTTTTTTCCCTTTTTTATCTTTTTCTTTCTTCAACCTCCCTTCTCCCCTGCCATGAGCGGAGGGGATGATGCTATCCTATCTCCTTTCTGTATTTTTTTTCATTGTTCTTTTGTCAAGAAATTGACTATCATGTACATATACCATTACTCTGGACAGAAGTCTAGGTATTCATTTTCTGGTTATTTTGTTTTCATAGAATCCTCATATCTGTTAATTTTATTTTACATAGGGCATTTGATTTCTCTAGTCACAAGTTATGGCAATGTGTCAACCCAGACTTGGATTTATTAACGGCCAAGACTTACCTCAGTTCGTCACTATCTCTTCAATGGATGGTGCTTGCTGAGGATTCAACTCTTCTCGATTCTCTTTGGATGAAACTATCCTAAAAAATGGGTTCGCTGATTTAACTAGGGATGCATCTGTCCAAAATCTCGAGTCAGCCCCTAAATCCGTGAACAGATAAACTGAAACTGTGACTGGATCTTAAATTGACCTTTTCTCTTCACTTGTCATTCCCCATTATATCTTGCCAAAACCCAAAAAGAAAAAAAATAAATCCATTGGTTAGAGCATAGGACAAAGGTATAATCCAATAATCAATGGTTAAAGCATAGGACAAAGGAATAATCAAGTAATCAATGTCTTAGAATTTATATGAAACTAAAGCAGGAATTATAGCAAAATCCAGAGGATAAAATGGAACACAAAGAATCAATGCTGTCTACACTCTACATAATATTCATCCAACAGCAGTCCTTATATCATCATTGGTCATGACATGTTTTTGTCTGCTTTCATGAATATGCAGAGACCATCATAATTAGTTTGACGCAATCTATGTACTTCAAATTTCACAGCATCCTCTATGTACGAATCATGGTATGGGCATCTTTAGTAATGACGAAAAGCATGCAATGAACAAACCACAGAAAGAATGAACGAATCAATATCAGCTACAAAACCAGGTGGTCAGGTGGACACTCATCACAGCCATTGATGCAACATGAACCAAAGAGAAACTGCAAGGAAGACCAACAAAACCAGGTTGTGGTTCATTCCAGCTATTGTTGCACCAACATGAACACAAGAACTGCTAGGAAGATTGAGAATACTGTAGTAGAGCCCTTTTTATTATTGTTGCTTGTTGGCAATGCTGAAGGGAGTGCACACTCCTCACCATTGAAGAACACTTTAGAGGGAAATCCATCACCCGCAGCCACATTAATGCCAGGGGTACTTTTCTTGGTAAATGAGATCACGGTCTGTTGTTTTCCAGGCACCCTAGGATCTTTCTGTGGGTTGGCTCCATCTGTTTCAGCCACAAGATAATTTAAACCAGTAAGGCCTTGCATGAATATGGTATTGTTAACACCATTCAACTCCAAAGTACTGCCGTTGAAGGAATACATCTTTTGAAACCCAGGGGTTGCTTTATCCATTTGTACTGCAGCAAACCAATCAGGGAAGGCAGTTTCATCCCAGTTGAATATTGTGATCCTAGCACTCCAGCCTCCAGAGTAGTCAGTATAAACATGCCAGTTTATGCTGACCCCACAATTGTCACCACATGGCATTGGATTTGGCACCGTTAGGTGTTTAAGATCAGCCCAAGCTTTGGCCATAGCAGTCCTGTTATCAAATGGAACGAGAAGTGCCTCAGGTGGAAGAAGAACGGCTGGGGCATTTGTAATACAAGTAAGGGCCGTGTTGCTGGGGCACCCACATGCACAAGTTCGACATGGGACAACTGAATCATTGTAGTATGAAGAAAAGGATACACAGCACTTGGGGCTTGCACCCTTGGGCTGTGTAATGTTGCAAACAACCTGCCAGCTGGCAACTGCAGTTGTATTTGATGGCAAGCCACTTGGGTCAGGGAACTGGCTAGGGCTTACTCGCACTGGAGGGCCACAACTGTAATCAGGGTTCAATGTGCCATTGATCTTCCAATTCTGAGGAGGATAGAGCTCAGTGCGGTTGAGATCTGGTGGCATTTTAAAGACCTGCATCTGGAATACTGAACTTGACTTGCTAGGGTCCATTGTTGGCGGCAAGATTGTACCATTCCGGCAACAATTAGGGATCAGCCCAAGGGTTGTATCATTGGCCTTTGTTGGAGGCAGGTCAATAATTGTTGGCCTCCTCTCACAATTTAACACATTGCCAAAGTCTAGATCCGCATAGTATGTTCCTTGTGGGCCAAATATGCAGTCAGATGAATCAACAACATATGGATAAGCCCCTTTCATGGTATAGATAAACTCATCCCTCATCCAATCAAAGCTCAATTTCCAATTATCAAGACGCCCAAGGGGGTTAAGGTTTGAGATAGTAACCTGTGCCCAATAGTTCGAGTCATATGTTCTGGTCACATCATACATAATTGTAAGATCACCACTTTGCCGAGGCAGAAATTCCTCGTTTACTGTCACATTTGTTTTGAAATTTGGGTCTTTGGTGCAACAAACCTGCATCTCACTGTTACCTGGAAGAACCACCAAGAGTAACGCATGTCCCTCAATATGTAAAAAGCATATTGAAATAAATTCAGAACAACTAACGTCGTGCTCAAGACTGCAACTATATAATTCAGATCAGAAAAAGATACATCCCATTTTTTCATTTGCCTACTATAACTCAGGTCAGAGAGAGACATGAACAACTAAACTAATTCTCAAGACTATCACTAGATGAGAACAACAAGCCAAATTAGGAGCATAAACTTGAAACAGGTTCAAAGAGTTTCTATCTCTATTATAACCCAACGTAACAAAATACCATACATGCTAAGAGATGGTTCTTATTACAGCAGCAGAAAAATCCTAGTAATAGAGACTCAGTCCAACATTTGACCCTACATATAAGGCTTACAAATTCTATTGAGAATTCTTTAGAATATTATGAAAGGCTCTCACTTCACCCAAATCAAAAATTTCACCTATGATTTCTTTTGTTCCTACCCAAATTAGAAATTTGACCAAATCCACAGAAATCTATATAGGACTCAAAAATTCCATTGTCAATTTCATTTTGTAATAATCTACTCAAATATCCCACCTCACCCAAATAATAGAACACAATCAAACATAAAAAATATATACATAAATAAGCTTAACACAAGAACTTTTGTTACCTTGCAAGGAAGCCTTAGGACAAACAAACCCATCATTAGCAAGCTGAATATTATCAGGCAACGGCACGTCAGGAGCCGCCACTCCAAACTGAGTCCCAACAAGCTGAACCTGAACTTGCATCTGACTCAAATCTCCAGCTGTCTCAATCGCAGTTTTCAGATCACTCATCGGATACCCGGCAAAAACGGTCCCGTTCCCAACCTCGGCAGGCAAAGTCGTCCCATCAGCCAAAACCGCATTCGATGCAGAAACCAAAATCTCATCGTTTTTAAACCCCACAAAGACCATCCACGATTTAAGTTCCTCGTCGCCGTTATTCAGCACCGTTAAAACCGACTCGAACCTGTACGGCTGGTGACTCGGATCCGTGGGTTTTAACTTGGTCCCAGAACTGTAAGCATAAGATAAGAAGATCCCATTACAAGAATCCGCGGAGGGGGATGGGGCTGCGGCATTGGTTTGAGACAAAGAGAAGGGCAAAAGTGTAAAAAAGTGTGAAAGCCCGAAGATCAAGAACAAACTGTAGTGCCTCAAAGCCATGATTTTGATTCCTTGGGTCCTATTTTATTTGAAAGAAAAGATAAAAAGAACCGAGAAACCAACTGTTTTTGTAGCGAAAAAGAAACGCGTAAGGGGTGTTGGATTAGAGTTCGGACAAGACAGCTTAGAAGAAGCTGGAACTTGAAAGCATGATATTTTTTACCATGTCCGAGGAAATATTTTAAAGGCGATGACTCTGTTTGGTTAGGTTTACTTTGTTTGGTTTTTGTTTTTAAATATTTTAGAAGTTTGGGAATGGGAAGCGATGTTTTTGGGGGCAATGAATGTGAACGGAAAAGGGAGGGAAGAAGTGAGGAAAGAAGGTTGCAGTTGTAATACTGGGAAGTGGTTTGGCTTTGGCTCTTTCTCTGTTTTGAATTTGTAAAAAAAAAACAGAGTCAATGGCTATAGGTGGCGTGTGAGGGTGTGAAAAGTTGTTGGGAATCGTTGTTTTGTCGGCTCCACCTTGGCTCTTCTATATATTTTATTTGAGGATAAATTTAAGTTGAGCAATTTATATTGATTTGATTTGAAAATTTTAATAATTAAATTATTTAATTTTTATTTGATAAATAATTAGATTCATAAAAAAATTGTAAATAATCAAACATAATTGGATAGATTAAAATTGATTTAATTTGATAGATTTAATTAAATAATTAAATAATTTTTAATTTTTTAATATAAATAATTATTTAATTATAAATTAATCTAATAAAATTTAAATTTAAATATTATTCAAATTAAATTATTAAAAAATTTAATAATTTCAATGATATTTTACAAAAAGAAGATAAACAAAAGTATTCATATCAAATTTTTTATTTTTATTAAAAAATTAATTAATTTGATTAATTCGATGATTCGATTATTAATTTTAAAAATAAAAAATTGATGGATTTAATTAATTTAAAAAGTCAACTATAACTAAAATTGAATACTCAAATCAAATTGATTATTTTTCATTGGTTTCAGTAGATTAAATGATTTGAATTGATTTCTACTCACTCCTAGATAAATTTTGTGATTTTTTTTCATTAAAATTAGAGATCAATGATGATAAAATATTATGGGATTTAAAGATGAGAAAAAATCAAAAAAATTAAAAATTAATACAAAATCATAGTATTAGGTTAGGTTTGAATTTTTTTTATTACGTTTAAATTAAATTAAGATGTTTAATATATATATTAGTTTGGATTGAAAAATAAAAAATAAAAAAAAATTGAAACGAATCAAATTATATATATATTTTAAATTTATGTAAAATAAAAATAATTATTTATATCTAAATCTATTTAAATTTATTAAAAATTATATTAAAATAATATATAAAAAATTAAAAATTAAATTTTAAAAACTGATAAACTCAATCGAATCAAATCAAAAAATTTTGATTTGATTTAAATTGAATCACATAAAATTTCAATTCGAAATGGATTAAATTTTAAAAATTTATAACTTTATATATTATTAAAATATAATTAAATTAAATCCAATCCAATTTAACTCGATATCTTCTCTAAATGGGATTCATTGATTTTGGTTTCTCAAAATTCTGATATATTTATTTTAGTTTAATTGAGTTTAATTCATTGAAAAATACTATTTAATAGATTTGAAGTTTAAATTTTAATATTTGAAATTTTTTTCATTCATATATATTAAAAATTTTTGAATCCTTGAGGTTATAAACAAATAATAAATTTTATATAAAAAAATAAATAAAAATTCATGCAAAGAGATGGGAGAATAATAATAAGTTGCAAAATCTTCGGGTTTTGTTGCGAGAACGTCTTCGTCTGTGCTGTACCTGAAGCATATGAACATGAGAATTGAGAAATGCGCCATGCGCCCTTTCTTATGAGGAATTTGGAACCATGCAAGATGGTAGTGCGCCCAAAAAATATGTGTTGGATTTCATGCCCATAAACAGTGAAATGATATGAATGGACTCACTGTTTTGCTCTATCCATTTCACTGGATTTATCATGGGGTGATTCAACGAATCTGCCATAATTCTTAAGAAACCAAACCCCAACCCATTTAAGCATCTTTTAATATATTTTTAACAAATAGTTGGAGCATGCTCAAATTAAATCCGATAATATAAATTAAGATATAATAATACGATATAAAAATTATATATAAATAAAATATATAAATAATATAATTAAAATATAACAATAATTATATATAAATTTAATAAAATTAACGAAATATATTTTATATTTTTTCATCAATATAAAGTATGATACATAATTTTTATATAAAATATAATATAAATATATGAATATTAATTTTTATATGATACAAATACAAAAATAATCAGATTTAATCGAAACTATGTCAATAGACAGAAATGAGCCATTTTCCGACCTTCTTGTCCCTGTCATTTTAAGAACAATGAGACAAAAACCTGGTTAGTTTGGGACTTATGGTCTTAAACAAAAAATAACGTGCCTGTCTGTAACATCTTTATTTTCATTTCCGTGGAATATTATATGGGGGAGATATTCCAAAGCAAGCAAAGTCGCAAATTATGCTTGAAATTAATGCTTAAGACTTTGCTTCAATGATCTTATTTGCCAGCAAGATTAATGAACTAATACCATGTTTGTATACGTTAATCCTGTATGCCCATCTTCCTTCAACAAAATTACAAGCTCTAGGTAAAGAGGGCAATGAGTTGAATAGGGATAGATTTTTACTTGTCATGAGCTTAATCTTGTTTTATATATTAAATATTCGAATTTGACCCATTTTGATATTAAAATATTAATTTTTATATTTATAATTAATAAAATATTATTTTTTAAATATAAATATGAAATTAAATAAATATAAAATAATAAATACAAATATTATATATTTACCTCTTTGGGAGTAAATAATTTTACCTAAAATCCGATTTTTATTTTTTTTTCAAAAAATAATTAATCCAAAACCCAATTTAAAAAAAAAAAAAAGTCAGGAATTATTGGCTTCTGCCCATTGGTTATCCAATTACTTCATCCAGTTCTTACCCAATGAACTCAAGTTCATTCACCATTGGCCTGATGACTTTTCCATCCAAGTGTCCTCTAAGGCCATTCCAGACATGTATGGCTATTTTTCGTCAACAAATCTTCAGCCTGGTAGATACAGGGAAAAAGAAAATTTCAATATGAATGACAGCGTGCAGCATGAACTCACAGTTTCAGGCTTTCTGCCTTATCATCACATGGATGCTAGGCTACATAGCCGAATCGAATGGCTTCTTAGAGCTTGTTTTGTTTCCTTCTGCACGTGTCGCTGCAACTTCACTTCTTGGACACCAGCCTGAAACTCTGCCCCACTTTCATCAATATATCAAAGCATTTTCAGTGTCTATCTGAATTCCTTAGGGGCATAGACCCCTATCTGCTTTTACAAAGGCTAACAACATCACTCTGCAGCCACCTTATTCTGAAGGCCAATGCTAAAAATAATTAAAAAAAAAGACTGCTTATGCTTGATTATTACTTCTACAAACCAGCCAAAGTTCTCTTCAAATACTTGTGTGGTTAATGCAAACGCAAGTGGTAAGTTTTGAAATTATTCAGCTCTGATAATTATAAGTTTAACAATCAAAAAGGTTTGCCACCAGACACTTCACCACCAGATTCCATTTGTCCCACAAAGAAACCATCAAATTTTCAATCAAAAAAGCATCATAAACATGCCAGATTTGAAGATAGGTAAAACCTAGCCATACATGGCATGTGGAGGGGTTGAGAATAAAGTTCACTGGAAAAATTCTCTTCACAGATTGAGAATCATCCAAAGACACCGGGAATATAGACCAATGCAGACTGCCAACTAAACAAAGACTTTGTCTGGTTTTGATAGGGTAGGAATTTAGCATCACTGTTAATTGTCTGTAAGTGTTGCCATGCATAAAACTATTGGTAGTGGAGTCCAAAATTATTTTCTTTTGTGTCACTTTAGTGGAGCAAATGGGTTATTGAAACTTGAAGATTCGCCGACCTTGCACCTCAACTACAAGTCATAAAGACACATTCCCTGTTTTTGTAGGTCCATTCAAACTCCTTTTGATCACTTCTTAATTAACACTTTTACATTCAATCGAAGTTACTACCATCATTGCGTTCAAAATGATCCTTTTCTTGATAGAGAAAAGTTTGATATTGTAAACGGGTTTCTTGTTTAGGTCAGAAAGCGATGCAATGATGTAAAACGGAGTGTGTAAGGAGATGATAGAGAAAAAGATTAAAGCAGTCGCTAAAATATTGAGCGACATGTGATGGTATACGGTGAAATAATTCTGAATAAAAGAGAGAATAAGGTTGAAAAAGAAAGTTAGGAAGAGGGGACTGGAGAGAGAATTAAAGAGAAGGTTGAATGAATCTGTCCAAAATTTGAAAGTCTCTAAATGAATTGTGAGAGTTCCTATATATAAGTTTCAGAAATAGGGGTTACATAATATATATCTATTAAGTAGGTAAATGATAGAAATTCATAGATAAAAAAGTGTTAATGTTGTTTGTGGAAGTTTAGCATTTAGTGATAGTGAATCGGGAATATAACAAAGAGTTTATATTTAATATATTATTAGTATATAAATTTTATATATTATCAATAAATCGGATGATATTATTTTATTAATGAGCAAATATCAAACATTAAAATAAATATATAAAAATTATTTTAAAAAAAAAAAATTTACTTATTAATGATGTGATATCATCTTATTCAGTTCATTAATAAGATGATATCATTCTATTCACTAATAATATATAAAATTTATATACTAATAGTGTATTAAATATAAATCTTATAAAAATTTATTACTTATTTTGAAAGAAAGAGAAAAGCATTCATATTTTAATGGAACGTTAAAGAGAAGATATCTTAACTATCTTCATATCTTATTAATTAAGTCAAACTCTTTGAAACATTTCAATAATAAAATTAATCCAAAAATTCTGTCATATTTTAGAATTATTTTCACTTCTTCTTATCGGGTGAAATGTCTTTTGTATAATAATTTTTATTGAAACAACTTTCAATAATAAAAAAAAAAAACTTTTTTAATGTTATTGCTTAAGGAAGTTATTCTATGAATAGCTATTTTGTAAAGGTATTGTTCTATGCACAATTGTTCCGTAAAAAATTATTTCATGAATAACTGTTAAAAAAATTTAAATTAATATTTTTAAAAATCGATCCAATACAAGTTAAATTTTATTTGTTCAATTAATTAATTGGTTTTTAATTTTTTATATTATTTTGATATAATTTTTAATATATTTAAATAAATTTATATATAATAATTATTTTTATTTTATAAAAATTTAAAATATGTATAAACTAACAAAAATATATAATTAAGTTCAAATTAATTTAATTTTTTTTTAATTTTTTATATTTTATTTCAAAATTTAATACAAATTTAATACATAGTTAATACTAATCTTAATTCAAATTGAATTAAAAAATTTATCAAAATTAAACCAAACATTATAATTTTAAATCGATTTTCGATTTTCCTTTTTTTTGTTTTTACCCCTATTCTGTGCTTTGTTCAAAGTTTGCTACCTTGACTTAAAAGTAAAACGTGTCGGTGTCATCTTTTAGAATTTCAAGCTTAACCCCAACTTTTTCCCTTTTCTTTCTTTTGGAGTAAACCATTTTCTCATCATAAAAGAAAAAGCTTCTGGTTCCATCATAAACTAAAGAGCTTCTGGTTTAGCTTCAATGGTAAGGGCACACCATCCTCTTTTTAACACACTCTCTTCCTTGCTTGGGGTCGTGCATTCATGAAATTCAGTTGATCAATCAGGTAATCAAAAGCTATTATTTTTTGTTTGTCTTTCCATAGATGGAAATGTTTCAGACAATTATTGTTATTTCGACATTTCTGATGATGCTACTGAGTTTAGTAGTTTGTTCAGAAGAAAGCAACAGCGGTCCAAATGTGACATCAAAGTATCAGATCGAATGCACAATGTGTTCCTCATGTGAAAATCCGTGTCAGCAAGTTCCATCACCGCCACCACCACCATTTGTTAACACCAATTACTGCCCACCACCTCTATCTCCATCCAGCTCTGGTGGTGGCGGTAGCTATATCTACTACTCTCCACCACCACCTAAGTCAGGCGGCAATAACTACTTTGCACCACCACCACCAAGTGGTGTCATTGGTGGCATGTACTATCCTCCACCAACGTACAAAAACTACCCAACACCGCCACCTCCCAACCCTATTGTCCCTTACTTTCCTTTCTACTACCACACTCCTCCACCTCCTTCAGGGTCTGGAAAGTTGTTAGCTTGTTGGGTTTCTTCTTTTGCTGCTATAGTTGGTCTTTTCCTTTGTGTCTTTTGATATTGAAAGCTAAAGAAGAATAAAAAAAATGGTGAAAATGGCAGATCTAGGAAACTTCTACAGATGAGAGAAAGAGAAAAAGAAAGCTGATGGGAGCTGCTTTCAATGCTTACCAAAAAGGCACTTCTTTTATGATGAAAATTGACACAGAAAGCAACAGGGATGAAGTCATGGAACTGAGAACCTAAAGATATGGAGTAATCTTCTCTCTTTTCTCTGGCTCACTATTTTCTTCTCATGCTGTAGACTCATGATCATTGCTTCTGATCATTTTTGTATCTTTTTTTTTTCCATTAATTTTAATGTTCATTGGAAACTAAAAAGAAATTTGGTCAAATTTGACAATAATTAAGCTTTTAGGTTTACATGCTAAGTGCCCTTTCGTTGTCTGCAGTTTCCTGTTGGTTCAGGTTAATTTCCTGCTGCGGCAATGGGGTTGGATTAAGATTAGTATAAAAAATTCTTGGCCCATAAGGATTATCAATTAATAAGCCCTTTTGCACTCTCTTTAATTAGGCATCATGTTGATAAAAAGGTTCTCTGAATGAGCATCAAATTTTACTTGATCGCAACTTAAGTAAATAGAGTAGAATTGAACCTTAAATTTGGATCTGTCAAAATGATATTTTTTTTATAATAAATAGGTCAAACCTAGTCTAACTAATTTGTGTTAAACCAAATTGTAATTCTTTCAAGCTGTTGAGTAGAGAAGATAACGGTTTAGATCAAATTACATTTAGTTTGATTTTTTCAAATAATATTTTATATTATAAAATTTTAAAATTCAATTCAAATTCGAATCAATTTTTTTTTAAATTAATTTAATTTAAATTGAATTCTATCGATTCGATTTATTGATTTTTAAATTTTATTTTTTTATATATTATTTTAACAAGATTTTTAATATAAAATAATTATTTTATTTTATTAAAATTTAAAATATATAATTTGATTTAATTCAAATTTTGATTTAAAATTTAATCTAAACTTAATATATATATATATTGAATATTCAAATTTGGTCCTAATCAAATAAAAAATTAATTTTAAATTAAATCAAAATATTATGATTTTAAATTATTTTTTTATTTTTTTCTCACTCCTACTGTTGAGTGCCAACCTTGGCCTCTCCCCTGGACTTAGGGTTAATCACTCTTAGTCTCCACTTGAATTTTACTGCACTGATATTTAAATTTATTATATTTTTAATTAAATTTAAATATTAATTTATCAAATCAATATAAAATTTTTATTAAATTTTTTTATTTATAATTATAATAATTTTTTTCAAGTAATAAATTTTATTATTATTTTTAATCACAAAATATGTAAACGAAACCTCAATTTGTAACGGCAATTAGCTTTATACTAGGTGGCTCCGACCCGTCAGCTGCCCTATCAGGCAGCAGCCCAGCCAAAAGGATCCAGAAGGTCTAATCTTGATTGAGTTCTGACACACCACCTATCTCAATGTTAGTAACTCATTTTTATGATGCACTATGACCAGAGAGTGTTGTTGGGACGTGGATCCCAAATTTCAGAGGGCACCCCCTATTTTATAAAAAAAATGTGAGGTCCGGCAAACTAGTAAAGTATTCAATATTGCATTATTTTTTATAGGACCTTTTATGCTTCTACAATTTTTTTCTTTGCCTTCAAGATAGCATTCTATCGAAGGCCTACCCCTCCCTTTTCCATAATTCCAAGTGTAATTTATCAAATCAATATAAAATTTTTATTAAATTTTTTTATTTATAATTATAATAATTTTTTTCAAGTAATAAATTTTATTATTATTTTTAATCACAAAATATGTAAACGAAACCTCAATTTGTAACGGCAATTAGCTTTATACTAGGTGGCTCCGACCCGTCAGCTGCCCTATCAGGCAGCAGCCCAGCCAAAAGGATCCAGAAGGTCTAATCTTGATTGAGTTCTGACACACCACCTATCTCAATGTTAGTAACTCATTTTTATGATGCACTATGACCAGAGAGTGTTGTTGGGACGTGGATCCCAAATTTCAGAGGGCACCCCCTATTTTATAAAAAAAATGTGAGGTCCGGCAAACTAGTAAAGTATTCAATATTGCATTATTTTTTATAGGACCTTTTATGCTTCTACAATTTTTTTCTTTGCCTTCAAGATAGCATTCTATCGAAGGCCTACCCCTCCCTTTTCCATAATTCCAAGTGTTTGTCCCTTTTGCTCTAAGGATTTTTTCATATTCAATAATTTTAAATATGATACAATAATATGATATAAAAATTATATAAATAAAAAATATAAAAATAATATAATTTAAAATTTTAATAAAAATCATAAATAAATTTAAATAATAAAAAATATATATTTTATATTTTTATGTTAATATAAACTATAACACGTAATTTTTATATAAAATATGATATGAATGAACGAATTATTATACTTAATTTTTGAATGACAAAAGTTTTATCATCAAAGGATCCAAAGGACAAAACAACAGATTTTTTTGTAGAAATTGAAATGAGTTAGATCCACTTAATCTAACCACAACTTACCCAAATTGAAGGCCCAAGAAATGCCCCATTTTCCGAGCTCAAAACACAAAAGCGGAAGTGAAGTTATACAATCAGCCAATATCTTGATTATCAGTTTTCTTTCCTGTGGGGGGAATGATACTGAAAATTCCAGGGATAATTAGCTGGATGGCATGCAATATGATGAATGGTAGGGTCCAGCCAAGTAGGCAAAGGTATACGAAGGAGAAGTAAAGAGAATTCGATTAGAGGAAAAGACAATTACATGGCAAAGGCATGGCAAATGAGAAAAATGAGTAACAAAGAGTGCAAGCAATTTTATGTAACAGGTTGAACTTAAATTCTCATGATTCATCCCTTCAAACTTAAAAAACTTATTAGCTGAATAGTGCTTAGGTTTAAGATTAGAGGAAAACACAGTGATGAATTGTGGAAATAGGTCAAGTATCCACCATTGTAATTAGAGGTGAAAAAAATTAAGAAAATAAAAAATCGATTTAAAATTATAATGTTCGATTCGGTTTTGATCAATTTTTTTTAATTTAATTCGAATAAAAATCAGATATTAAACATATATATATATATATATTAAGTTAGAATCGTATTCGAATCGAAATGTTAAAAAAAATTGAATTGAATCGAATTATATATTTTATTAGTTTTTAATTTTTTTAATTTTTAAAAAATAAAATAATTATTTTATATATAGATCTATTTAAATATATTTAAAATCTTATTAAAATAATATATAAAAACAAAAAAATTAAATTTTAAAAATGATAAATAAAATTAATAAAATTCAATTTAAATAGAATTAATTTAAGGTGTTGTCACTTGGCATGGTTTATTGATGAATGCACCAAATCACTTGAAAAAAATGTGGGGTTGACCTTAAAACTCTAACAATTTCGCTTACTGCTAGGGGCCCATGATGAGAAAGACCATTGGGCCTACAAAGAGTTCGTGGGCAAATGCTTGAAAAGATCTGAACTCAGAATCTGCTAGCATCACAATAAGCTGGGCCGAAGGACGTCCATTTCAAGGCCATTGATGTTAGACAGACTCGACGACATACATTATCAATTAGTCGTGTTAAAATTCTAGCCAATTCTGCTAAACAAACTGTTCTTATAGTAAATGATTGCATATATGACACTGTTTTTAGCTTTGAAAGATAGCAATTGAAGATGGCTTTGGTCACATTATGACTTTACCTGTTGCTACAACAACATTGATACTATTTGGTCCAGCGATGGTACTTAACCTGTAAAGTTATCTGCCATTGATAGCTCATCTTCATTCTCCAACTGCAACTTACAGCCATAGCTAGGAAGGGCCTAGAGCTAAAAGGTCCAGGCAAATTCTGGCAACTAGGGTGACTAAATGTTAAGGAGGCTATAGGTGTTTATAGTTCGGATCAAATTGATTTTAAGTTGAGTTCATATTTTATATTAATAATTTATATATTTATTTAAATTTGACGTGATTTGATATTTTAGGTCTTAATGATTTAAATTAAAAAATAAATTTAAGTCTTATTTATTACATTTAATTTATATAATAAAAATTAAAATTGTATTTTAATTTTTATAAAATATATTTAAATAATTATAATATTTTATTTGAATCCAGTTAACTCAAAACTTTAATTTTTTAATCTACAATCTTGCTCGAAATTTAATCAAATTTAAAAATTATATCTAAATTTATTTAATTAATTTTGATTTTTTATCTAAATGCTTTTAAATTTTGAATAAACCTTTGGACTTGAACAGTGGCTCGTTTTTACAGCTTTTAGCTTATTGTTATATCCGATCTGTGACAATAATTTGGACTTAAATGAATTTTTAATTGGAGTGAAACATATTGGTTTAATATTGCCCCAGAGACAAACAAACCAAAGTACTGTTGTGTTCATCTTTTTTTTCTGATTTGTAATAAATCACACTACTAAACTGAACCTGCAGGCTTGCAGCTTGAGAAAGCTGACCACGAGAACATGCTTCTGCATGGCAGAATCTCTGTCCTCAAAAATTGTCAAAGTCCTGGATTTGTTGTCGCCATATATGACTCCTATATTTGCTTTATGAACAATAAATAATCATGTCTATGAATATATAATCATCTTTCAATTTTTTTTTTTTTTACTTTTACAACAAACAACCAAATTTGAAAAAAAAAAAAAAGTTGAATTTGAAGTTGCCTTCCAGATTTCAACATCAAAGTTGAACTTGATTTAAGAATATAGATTCTGGTTGACTTGGAGGAGCATTTGCCATATCTCGTCTCAGATTTGTTTATTATTAATAGTACATTTTTTCATCAAAACATTTAAATTAAAAATGTTCATAATTAAATTGTAATTGAATTAATTAATTAATTAAATTTAGTTTAATTAATCAATTGATTATACTTTTAATTAAAATTTTAATCAAAATATTATAAAATATATATAATTAAAAATATATAAATTTATTCAAAATTATTAGAATTTTTAATTTAATATTTTGGTGTTTAAATTTTTTATTAAATAATTTCATTTATTTTATTTTATATAAAAAAATAAAAATTTAATTACTCAATTAATCAAAAGCATTAATCAAATTAGTTTCAATCAATTAATTTTTAAAATTAAAAAATTTAATTCAATTAATAAAAATAATATAATATAATTCAATTAATTTAATTTTAAATAATTTAAATCAAAATTAACCAAATGAGCACCCCTAATCCAAATTATCTCTATTTTATATCAAAAGTAAACATTAAAGAAATTAATGTTCATATAGAAATTAAGTTTTGCAAAGATAAAAAATATGGCAAAAGATTTGATTCCCACCAAAAGTAGGTTATACCTTATGCTGTTTGGCGCCTTAGATAATCTTGGGATTTCCTTGAAATTTCATTTTTTTTCTTTCCGATTCTTTCTTTTTTTCTTTCTTTTGGCCAAGTTTATAAAGCCACACATTCCACAAAACTATAAAAAAAAATTAATACAATAAAGTCTAAAAAAAAAAACCACAAATCAAACCCCACAAACATCAAATTACTAATTTTAGGTTAGGAAAAATGGCATTGAAATACAGTTAGTTCACACTAGGGAAAAAAAAACTAGAATTAAAAGAACTAAGGAACAATCACCATAGGTTACACTTGGAAATGGTTAGAAACCCATGAAAGATCCTAATATTTTTGCTCTAAATATATTTTTAAAAAAAGAACTAAGCATAAACAGAACCATAGGAGAGAGCCATCAAAAGAACAGCAGCTTGTTCTTCTTCTCCTAACTTTCTCCTTTGATTCTCAACTGTTGATCTTTGCATCAAAACTTGTCTTCCTAATGATAACAATCTCTGCTTCATATTATCTCCTAAATTCTTTGTGTTACTTGAACAACTGTTGCTACCATTGCTATTTTCTCTCTTTGATTTTTTGTCCTCTCCTTTGTTTAATCCCAAAATGGCCCTTCTCTTTTTCCTGCTTCTGATCCCACATGCATTACATAGAGACTGAAAAATGAAAGATGGGACAACAAACAGAATCAGATCAAATCCAAACAAGACTTAAAGATTACAAAAGTTGGAAAATGACCAAAAAAAAAAAAGAAACCTTGGGGCCAGCCGGGCCACCTCTCCAAAGAGGGGTTTTAGAGGTTCCACAATCAGCACAGGTTTTCTTGGTTTCACAGCCAATGCTTTGATTTTGGGTTTCTTTGGGTGAAACCCCTTCTGGGTATTTCTTGTTTTGATCTTCAGGCTCTGAACCCTACAGGAAAAAACAAAACAGAAAGAGAATCAGCTAAAAAATTGGAGTTTAAGCCAAGGATCAAGTCAAAAAACCCTTTTATAAGCTGTGATCACTCACTTTTTCACTTGGATCCAGCATTTTCACTTGATATTTTGGAGATCAGAAACCAACCCAAGTTTTAAAACACAGACAAAAGTTCAAATTAGTGGTGAAAACAAATGCTAATTAGGATAAGAAAAAAGAAACAGAGGAAACAGGGCAGTCAAGAGACTCAGAGACAAGAGAACAGATCAAAGCAATGAAGAAGAAATGAGAGCTTTTGGGGGCATTTTATGGGTTAGCCTTCAATGGAAACCCGCATGCAAAAGGAGAAAGAGAGGGAAAGTGAGAGACTGTCAATCGCTGTGGATGACATTTGGAGAAAAAGGAATCAAACCGACACAAAACACCGCACTCAGGCGGATCTAAAAAACTCCTTATATATGGGACGAGGAACCCTAGCTCGGTGACTGTGAAATGACTTAAATGCCATTAGTGAGTACAGTTTTTATCCCATATTGCCACCCGCCAAATCCCCAAAAGGCTAGAAAAAGGAGTGGGCTCCTGAAAATGAACAAAAAGGGGCGCCATTGATGTGTTTTTTTTTTTATTGTTTCATTTGTTTGGCTCCAAAATTTTAATTTTGTCTTCTGTTTGTTTTCCCAGAAAATCTTTGGATTTGATAGAGGCATATGAAATTCCCCTTTATTACCAATTTTACACTTGTCCTTATATTAAAAAAAAAAAACTCAAATTTATATCCTTACTTTCAAAAGATATTTACAATATATTCACTTGTTAATTCAATTAATTACACGAGTTTATTTTTTATAAAAAATTTATAATTTAGAGATAAAAAATTTTAAATTTTAAATTCATTGAATGACATATTTTAAAAATAAAAATGTATATTAATTAAGTTAAATCCTAAATTTCGGTTATAAATTTTTAAAAATTTACATGTTAGATTAAAAGATTAACATATATCTATTCATTAATATTAAGGCCCTTATCGATTTTAAAATCTTGCTAGTAAAATCTACAAATTTCATTTGTTAATGTATAAGATATCTTTTTTTAACTATACATCAAAAGTTTTTGCTGTTTAAAATTTGTGTGTGCTTTGGCATTAATCAATATCTAATTTTTATTAGATTAAAATTATGGGTGATTATCAAAACTCAAATAGATGATTAAAATAATTTTATGAAGTTTTTTTTTATGGAATAATCCAAATTAAAGAGTAAAAAAAAAAAAGAAAGTTGGGCCATGAGATTTGAATGTTATCAGTAAGAGTATTTATTTTTGTTGACATTAGTATCAACATGGTACATAAATTGGTACGGAATTAATTTTGAAGGATCCTTAAACTTTGGTTAATGAAAGTCAAAAGAGTAATTGGGTCATGATGTCCTTCATTCACCTAATCATTCATAGTGACAGAAGATCTTTGTCATTTATTTTTGCCATACTTTCCTTAACTTTCGAGTTGCAATTATCATCATTGGCAATGAAATAAAGCAGGTCCATCAATGAAAGAATCTCTCATTCCCAAAATATGAAGTTGAACATTTCTTTAAACATGACATGTTCATGTAGAAATAGAACTTGCGATAATAAAGTTTATAAAAGACTCAGGCAATTAAGCTTTATATATAGGTCATAATCATGAAAAGTGCATCCAAATTAACCAAGTAATTTGGCTTAAAATCACGTTTAAAAAATATTTGAATATCTGATTCAATGATTGATATATGATATTTTTTGTTAAAAAGTATATAAATAAAATTTGAATTTTTTTTATTCAAATTAAAAAAAAAATTCACATCGTAAAAAGTAAGGTTACGAATTATAATTAGATTATGCATTTCCATCGATTAAAAATTTCAATGGATTGAGGTGGGACAAATTTTTTTTCAGTCTTAAATGCGAACCAATTTTATATATATAATGTCCAACCATACTTGATATTAAAATATTATTTATATACTCGAATCTAATTTTATTTATACATGTACAAAATCATAATCAATCTGATGAATTTAAAATTAATAAATTAATTTTTTAATATAAAAGTTATTTTTATATATACCTAATTGAATCAAAATGAATTTGCTTAAAACTCAACTCGACTCGACTTAATCTCGGCTTAAAAAATAAAAAAACTCTATACAATTGCATCAAGTCGAAACCCAATGGATTCCGAATGGATTGTCAACCCTACCATCAGCTTAGCTAGCTACAAGAGCTAGACAAGATTATCAAACTGACTAAATATGGGAAATGAAGACAAATTAGAAACAGCATGGTTAAGGAAAAGAAAGAGATGGTCCGATCTGTGGTTGGATGAAGGAACATCAGCTTGTTTTTGTGGTGCACACAAATCAAAGCTATCAGAATGAGGAGTGTGTATCAACTGTTAAAAGGATAGAATTAGATTAAAAAAAAAATACAATTGAAGGGACAAAATTCTGCCGGTGAAGGAAAATGAAAGCTCATTGAAACCTTTCCAATTGTAATCAATACCAGACAAAAAAAAAAAAAAAAGGACTACAGCAACACCACGGCCATCATACCATAAAACTTTCAATTTTCATCCAAAATTATGTTATCGTTTTACTGTGCTCTGCTTGAGAGTCAGACAAAATAGAGAGAGAGGGAAATGTGTAATAGAAGTAGGAGTAGGTGAGAAAATTGAAGGGCAAAGGTAAAGGATGATACATGCACTTTGTCCAATGATGGTAAAATAATCAAATGGGGGATTTAGGCTTTTCTTTTTTTCTGATTCTGTCATGATTTCTTTCATTTTCCTTCTTATAGCTTCAAGAGGGCACAGTCCTGTTGTTCATCATTCAAGTAAAAAAAGCATTAGACAAACAAAACTCTGCATTCCATTGTCTCTTATGTAAAAAGTTTGGTGCCCATTTTTTTTATGATGATGGGATTTTCAGGTGTCATGAATTGTAAATGATTGGATAACACTATCCTACCACTATCTTTCGTCTCCAGTCAACAAAATATAGTAGCAGACAATAAATGGATAAGAAGAATCAAACTCATGAGTCAGAATAACAAAATGGGTGTTGGATTTTTATCATGTTTCAGTCGCTTTCCGGAGATTTATCAATGTGTTCTTCTTGTTGGTAGCGAGTGTGTGTGCCAAAGAAACTAGCTACGGGGAAATTTTATTCCTTTTCATTACCTCTTCTTAACATTCGGAGTCCAAAATCTTGGCAGTTGGCAGTGATCGAAGTCTGATTTTCAAGTTCAACTTTCTATCTTCGTTTCTTTTAACCTTCTGAAAACAACAGCTGTTGATGCGGAGATATCTGCGAGGGGTAAAAATCTAAAAGTATAAGAAAAGAGATCGGTTAATTATAAAGATCGGGAATTTTCTCGATATTTGTACACCAACGTTTAAGTTAATACCCGATCAAGAAATAGGAAAAATATAATAAGTTTGGAAGCTAAAAGTTTCAGTTAGTTTAGGAATATATTGAGCGGGTACGCCTGTTTGATGGGGGTCTTGGACCTAGGTGGCCCAGCTTCAGTGTAAGGGGGCTAGGGCTGACATCACAAGCTCTAGCAGAACTGACAATTTACGATTCAATCAGGAGATGATGAGTTAACATTAGCATATGCTAGTAGGTGACCGGATGAGATGATCGAATTAACGTAAAATCTGGGATTTCAGATAATCAGATTCCCCCCGCTTGACAGTTATTTTGTTTTTTGGACACTAAAATACCTCTAATAATAGCATAAATGACTTCTCTTAAAATTAAACACACGGAAAGACGCACCGTTAATTTCTTCCTTTCTTCTCGCAATATATAGACCATAAAATGAGGTTTAATGGTTTATCAACACTCAAAAGTCAACACTTTTCACGTCATGAGACAGCAAATACGGGCCTTATAAAGACCCCAAGAACTCTTACTCAAAACAAGCACAAGGCACTGGGTAACCTTACCAGTTACCATTATAATCATTCAAGTGGAAGGGCCTTGTTTAAACAATGATAAAACCCAAGGGACACCTCCCATTGGCATTGCATCGAACCCTTTCAGATGTAATTTCTTGGTACAAAACAAGACAAAGCAAAATACATTGCAGACAATGAGACAACTTTGTCTGGTCACTAACGGTACCCACCCCTCCATATTCGGAAATCGTGATATTGATAGACCTACCTGGGCACCTCCTTCATCACCGTGGACAGTTCAAGGGACCAAACTTTGACCCCAGTTTTCGGTCATAACCCCTGTTATGAACTGCTTGCTCTACCAACCAGCTAGGTTCAAATCCAGCAAAGACAAAATATTTGAAGTATGCATCATACAAAGTTAGATACCTTCAAATGAAGTTGAATCCACGAGATGGAACCTGTAGTCCATTTCCTCCAAACTGGAAACTTTGTTGAGTACCATCAGCAGGAGGTAGGGTCCCTTCCTCCTCCAACCAGTGAGTAATGGGTGACATCATGATAATTAAATTGCAACAACTAACGGGCCTAAACGAAGAGGATCTATTGAGCATATACACTTTTGATCCTCCAACTCCAAGCTTCAACCCAGAACCCAATTCACTTTTGGGCTTTGAGAAAGAGCAAGACTGTGTCTGGGTTTTCTTCCTTGTCACACTAACCCCGATCTGTTCATATTTGACTGTAGGCTTCCAACAAGGGACAGACTTAGAGCATGGGAAATGGAGGTGGATGAACAAAGTTGTTTGTGCTAGTAGGGAAGAGAACCATGGGATCACTTGTATTTTGAATATAAGTTTACAAAAGTAGTCTGGCAAAGAATACTACAGAAGTGCGGGATTGGAAGAAGAGTGGGGGAGTGGACTGCAGAACTACAATGGGCAATGAGCAGAATGAGAGGGAAAGCATTGATCTTAGTCGTCTTGTGCATTGCTTTGAGTGCTTGCATTTATCAAATATGAAAAGAAAGGAACTGCAGGTTGTATAGGAATGAAGAAGAGACAGCTGAACAAGTGTTTGGTCGGGTTAAGAAAGTTGTCAAGAATCGATTAGATGCCCTGCATTCGGTTGCAGCTGACCTGGTGAATAAGGAACTATGTGCTGCTTGGAAGATTAACACTACTATACTAAATGTAAATGTAGAAAATGATGGTTGATTGATTGTATTGGATGTAATTAATTTTAGCTGACTTCTGCTGTCTTCGGATAAATAAAATTTTAGCTTATCCAAAAAAAAAAAAACTTGTTGATGCAATTAAGATGCCGGCCAAGCCAAGAAGGTTGAGATAAAGAAGCAAGTACAGGCTTTGAATGAGATAGGCTGACGATTGAAAAGGAAATTCTATTCGGATCAGCTAATAGTTATATCAGATGTCCTACCAGGTTGTGACAAAGAAAAATCCTGCTTTCCAGGTGAGAGTCTTGGCACGAGTGGAATCAGGGTCCCAAGACACCAGAGCGGGCGGTGGGGATTTACTGACTGCAATCAACGTGTA